CGCCCTTCCCCGCCGCAGGCCGCGGCTTGGGGAGGGGGGTGGAACAGGGGTCTTGGGGCCTTGATGAGCCTCTCCCATCCCGGCGCCGAGCGGCCGGGAGCAGCGCCGGGAAATCCGCTGGAGAAGAGGAACGGGGGTTGGTGTCCCGTGGGCCGATCCGAGGGGAAGGGCTGAGCCGGGATGCAGCTCGTTCTCCAGCTCAGGGTCTTCCCTCGCGGTCAGGATCAAGCGATGAGGGTGTTTGATGCTTCTCGACCGTGTTAGAACGCAAACAGTCCTGGGTTTTCTGTGTTGTTCTCCTCTTAAAATTATAATCCAGACAAATCTATCTCATGGGAACAGCATTTACTTTACGGGGGGCTTTTTTTCCTGCTCTCAGCTGGGGCGGGTGGCGTTGGCTGCAGCAGATCTGGGGGGATGTCAGTCCCACGTTTGCAGCGTGGGCCGGTGCGTGGCAGGAGTGTGCTTGGGGTTGTCTCCAAACGTTTTTCTCCTGCTGGGGGCTGCCATGTGCAGTGGAAGCAAACTAACCTGAGAAAAAGAAAGTGAATAAGCACTATAATAATGCAGACCTTATTAATTGTTATCCTCAGAACCAAAGTTAAACTTTTAATGTTGTTTTCTAGCTTCAGTTTCTATGGCTTCAGTCTGTATAGTACTTGTGTATCTGATTTTGGTTGGGCTTTTTCAATTTTGTGCTCAAGTTTTAAAGTGTTTTAAAATTCTGTCACTCCTTAGATGAGAACCTTCTCGAGCTGATGCCTTCACTACGTTTGGAAGCTGTGCAGCCATCAGCTTCTTAGCTGCTCTGCTTGCTGATACTGAAGAGCATTTCGGGTAAGAGAGCATGACTTTTGTTAGCATTTTCAGCATTAAAACTTTCTCTGAGGGACTGCCTCTGGTCTCTGACAAAAGGCAACAGAGTGTTGGAGAATTGCTGTGTAGGTTGCTCAAGGTGCCTGGAGTCCAGACTTGTCTGTCTTTATGGTGATGCTTCTTTTGTTCCAGGGCAGGAATATGAAACTAGACTTGAGCAGTCCTGTGCATTGAATGTGTTCTTAACTGTAACAAAATGGACTGGGGAGCAGAAGAGGGAGGAGGAGAAAACCTTTGGTGTTTAATGTGCTGGTTTTCAGTATGTTTGTGTTGTCTCATAAAGTAATGGAAGATAAGCTACATACAAACAAGTCTGTCTAACACATGAAGGTTTGCACTTTACTGTTAATTTAGACTGTTCAAAATGAATGAACATCCTAAAAAGAGGAAAAGGAAGACACTACACCCTTCTCGATATTCAGGTGAGTCTAGAGCTTGAGTTACATACACTTTAAGTGTATTTATTCTCAGCATAATTACTTTGTTAGGAGAAGGAACCACACGTCCCTTGTAGTAGCACATCCATGCTAATACGTGGAAAAATGGTAGCATAGAGGGTGGGATAAGAAGCTTTAGTCCAACCATATTGAGTCCCTGCTCTGCATCCTGTGTTGTTAAACCACTTTCAGTCAGTGCATCTGCACAGCTTTGTTCTGTACTTCCTGCAAATTGGGAAAGTTGCTCAAGCTAGTAAATGAAGGTGATGCTGCTAACACACAAAAGGAGAAATTTCCTAAAAGCGGGGGTGGGACAGCACTGAGGCCCCTGTGCTCCTGTGGTGGGAACACACCCTGATAATGATGGTAGCTGATACAGTGTTACCGGGGCAGCCCAGAGCTCCCTAAACACAAGAAATAAAAATGTGGCTGGTGAAGGGAATTTTTGGGGAACATTAAATACATACGTAGCTACATCAATGTGGGGGTATTCAAACCTTTCCCTTTTTTTGTTGTTCTAGATTCTTCAGGTGCCAGCAAATACATAGACAACAGTGGCATTTTTTCTGACCACTGCTATAGTGTCTGTTCTATGAAACAGCCAGATATGAGGTTTTCTGAAAACAGAGGTAAGGCTACATTTTGGGTCTCCTGCAATTCTCTACTAAGTGTGCCATACTCCTATTCATAGAAATAAGTATAAGTAGTGGGTGGCTTGTGAGTATCATTGTGATCTGATATGCCGTAGACTGGGGAAAGGTTGTTTAATTGTTATAATTGAAATACAGTTTTTGAAGCAAAAAATTACAATGACAAAAAGATCCTTTGACTTGTAATTATTAATAGCAGATATTTAGATTGTTTTCTAGCTGATGTAAATAATCTGAGGGTTCAGATGGAATTTACCAGCAACTGTTTTGGGCTGTACCTGTACTCAGAGAAAGCACAGTGCCTTTACACTGCATCCACTACAGGATGTGAGGTTTAGCAGAGCAGATGTGATGATGTTTTTTTGTTAAATTGATTTTTCTTTTCACTAATAAATTAACCATAAAATCCCCAGCAACCCTATAAAGTATTGTATTTTAAAACGTGACATCCAGAAATGTTTAAGAATTTTTGCTTTAATTGTGTATTTCAAATGGAAAGTTTCATTTAAGGATTTCAGGTTTTTTCCAGTATAATCAACAGACTATTTTTTGCTGAAGTCTTAAAGACAGAGTTGCCACCTTTTGAATTATTTTTCTCTCTTTAGTATGCATGGAAATATTTTATAAAGTATTTATTGTTACTTTCTTTAATGCAGTTAGTAATTTGATTAGTACATAAAGGTTACTTTATGCTACTAGAATAAGTGAATAGCAAATATGAAATGTGGTTAAAGAGTCAAGATGATGCTAGAATAGACAATGACAAGAAAATCCTTCTTTTCTCCTTGCAGGTAGATTCCACAGTCCTGTGCAGAGCTTAGACACAGATGATGATGGGAGTCCAGTGCATGCTGGGACTTCTCACTGGAGTGGGTCCCACTCAAACGTTGTGGGGTTGCACTACACAGACCCTAAAAAGAAGGAGAGAGGTAAAGGTCAATGTGTGTTTCCAGCTGAGGTGCTGAGAAGCTGGAGAGCACAGCTGCTGGCTTTTAATGTAACTTTTTTGCTTTGATGAAGGATTTGTAGTTTGTTTATTTGTTAGTTAAACATAAAACATAGTCTGGCTGAGGAATAAGAACTGTGTCTTTTTTTTGCATTTGTAAGCTTCTACAATTCACCGAAAAGTGGTGTGTTGTTTTTTTTTTTTTAATTCTTACAGGGTTTTTATAACTTTTCGCTTTTATTATCTTAATTTCTCCTGCAGATAAAGGTACTAATAACGGAATGTGCAGAGACTTATGTGATTCACCCATATTCAGTGATAGCCCTACAGAAGAAGAGAAACCTCTAGACATTCAAACTGTAGAAATTTCTACAACAGAAGTGAATGCTGTAGAAGTTCATGACATAGAAACACAAACTGTGTCACCTGAGAAGCTAGAAGCTGAGGACCTGGAGGAAATCCCTCTGGAAACCAGAATTTTTGAGAAGAATCAGGCTTTGAATATCACAGCTCAGCAGAAGTGGCCTTTGCTGAGAGCCAACAGCAGTGGCTTATACAAGTGTGAGCTCTGTGACTTTAATAGCAAGTACTTCTCTGATTTAAAGCAGCACATGATCCTGAAGCATAAGACGTGTGCAGACACTCATGTCTGCAAAGTTTGTAAAGAAAGCTTCTCCAGCAAAGTGCAGCTCATTGAACATGTAAAACTACACGAGGAGGATCCGTACATCTGTAAATACTGCGATTACAAAACAGTGATATTTGAGAATCTGAGTCAGCACATAGCAGACACTCACTTCAACGACCACCTTTATTGGTGTGAGCAGTGTGACATGCAGTTCTCCTCCAGCAGCGAGTTGTACCTGCACTTCCAGGAGCACAGCTGTGATGAGCAGTATCTGTGTCAGTTCTGTGAGCATGAAACAAATGACCCAGAAGACCTGCACAGCCACGTGGTGAACGAACATGCCTGTCGACTGATAGAGCTGAGCGACAGCTACAATAGCAAGGAGCGTGGGCAGTACAGTCTCATAAACAAAATCAGTTTTGACAAATGCAAAAACTTCTTTGTCTGCCAAGTGTGTGGCTTTAGGAGCAGGCTGCATACCAATGTCAACAGGCACGTAGCTATTGAGCACACCAAAATATTCCCTCATGTTTGTGATGACTGTGGGAAGGGCTTTTCAGGTATGTTGGAGTATTGCAAGCATTTAAGCTCTCATTTATCTGAAGGGATTTATTTGTGCCAATACTGTGAATATTCAACAGGACAGATTGAAGACCTTAAAACTCATTTGGATTTCAGGCATTCAGCTGATTTGCCTCATAAATGTACTGATTGTTTAATGAGGTTTGGAAATGAAAAAGATCTTTTAAGTCATCTTCAGATACATGAGACAGCATGATTACTTTCTTTCCTTGTAACCAATTTATTAGAATTGGAATTCAATTCCAGTCACTGAAATCTGATATTAAATACAATTTTAACAGCAATTATACAATTCTAATGTTTTCATCTTCATCATCAAAGCGTGTATAACAATTTGGTGGTGTGAATTTCCTTACTTGGGGGTTTCAGTAGGAATAATTGCATTTACAGTGTGATGGATCAGATATTGGGGGAAGGGACAGTGAGAGTAGTTGCATGTTTTGAGAACAATTCTGATGGTCATCCCACACTTTCACATCTAGGGTACAAGACAAGGTCTCTTCAGTTTAGAAAGGGACAAAGAGAAAACTAACATCTGGTTCCATGCTGAAGTGACTCCATACTGATTTCAACTGCATGCCCAGCTCATGTTATCCTCTGTGGCAGCAGGTCCCTGTGTTGATGTTTAGCAAATTGAGCTGGCCTGCCAAAGATAAGGGTGTTCCAAAAATTCCCAGGCCTGGACATCTCCAAATTCACATATCAACCTGCATTTCCCACGTCATACTTCTGATAAGCTTTTAAAATTATCTTGTTTTTTCTCTTGGGGCACCTATCAGACCTTGTAATTAATTTTCTTTGTTCAGTGTTTAATTTCAACTCCAGTCTGTGGGATTATCCAACAACCCTTTCTTCCACACATTTACTGTAGAACTTCCACAGAAATTTTGTTTCCTTTATTCATCTTCAGTTCCTATCTTTTAATGCACCAAAGAGACACCACGTTGCTTGTGTGTAGACTGGGTCACATTTCAAGGCGTAATTGTTGGGGAATTTGCAAAGTGATCCAGCTGAAAATGTACAGAGTGGGGTTTTCATATCTAAAACCCTAATTTAGCTCTCACTGAAGCAGTGTATGTCACCAACCTCATTTAAAGCAAGCCTCTGTTAGTTTATAATTATTACAATTGTGTACATTTATAATGAGCTTTCCACTGCTAGCAATTTAGGACAGTTATTTTAATACTGTAAGTTTTAAACTTCTGTACACTGGCTTAAAACACTGGTACAGTACAAAAATGTTAATAACTTTATTAACCTTCACATTATTTCACACATCTGTTCAGATTAGATAGTGCCATCCTGCCATTATAATCTTTAGAAGTTAATTTTTACAGTTCATTCTGTAGCTGCATTTCTTTCTGAGTTGGTACTTGGACAGATAAAAATAAGGGTGAGGTGATATAGATTATGCTAGTTGTAAGGGTGAAATTACCCATAAATTAGTGGTGGAGTTTACATTTCTTTGTGTATCAATTGTAAATTTGTAATGTAAGATTGTCTAATGCAAGCTTTGTATAGATATAATTAATGTATAATACATTTCTTGATGAGTGAGGTTTGGCGTTATCAGCTTCAAGACATGCAAGGGTCTTTGCAATTGGTTTTTAAAGCTAAGGATAAAAACTGATATGGAACTTCTGATTGTAGAGAAGTATTTCTAGAAAGTCTGCTATGAACCAGTTAGTTTATATCTGTAGGAGGCAAGACCATTTTTGTCAAATTGGAATGCTGATATACTACTAAATTTTCTGTGTAGTCATTGAAAAGGTCAACCCAATAGTGTCTTGACTGTACTTTATTAGTCTGTTGTATAGAAAATGACAATGTCTGTGGTAGAATAGCTGATTTCCTACTTTGAACACATTCATCATGACTGGCTTACAATGGTAGCAATAATAAGAGTTAACAAAGCACTAATAAGCATTATTTTATATATGGAGAGTTCATTTTTTTCATAGGGGTATAACTGAGATGGGGGAACACTGGTTCTCTTAAACTCTGCTTTTGGTGATGACACACAGGTGGAATGGCACAGGTGAGCTCTCTAGAGAAAGCTGCTCTAGGAGACAGTGACAAGAAGTAGAAAAAGGACATTTTAAAAAAAAATAAAATAAATAAGTAGGCTTAAGAACTGTGTGTGCTTGTGTACACCAGCATCATGTCCTGTACAGGAGAGGGGGTCTGTTGTAAAAGGAGAGTCCTGTGATACAGAAAACCTGCTGGTTGATTCCTGAGTAACTTGATGTCTGACTTTTAAATTGTGTTATTTCTAACCTCTAAACTGGGAATGAAAAGAATACCCCATGGGAATGTTGTGAAGCTAAATAATTCCTAACTAAAATACACTGCACACTGTCTAGTTAGGAAATACATTCAAGTTTGTCTTAGGTTAGATTTTATGAAGACGTGACTAATGTTAGGTTGAGCTTTTTTTAATATCTATCAGAACATAAATAGAAATGTAGAGGAGTAGCTGGTCTCATTTTACATTAGCAGGAACACCAGTAGGATATCGGCTTCCACACGGTCAGCATGCTAAAACAAGAAAGATATTAAGCAGTAAAAAAATAAATAGGTAACGAGTGGAGTCTGTCTAGAAGTTGGAAGGCCGAAAGGAATGACTGCACAGGGCAAGGACAATGTGTTGTTCCCATGGAAGGGAAGACTATGGTTTATTTGTGTGAAGTGTGTAAGTGGAAGGTCAGTGCTCTGACCTTGCTGCACCAAGGGGAACAGAGCATGGGAATGTGGGAATGCTGCTGGTCTGATCCTGCCAGAGGCGTCACAAGGCTTTGACCCCATGGCTGGTGCAAGTCACCTCAGGATTGAAGGGGAGAAGTTAACTGTAGTAATCACAAGTATGCAGAGATTAATGTTCTCTGAGATACTGCGAGATTCACATTCAGTTGCTCATTACACTGATAACCTGCAAGGTTAATTGTGTCAGGAGCAGCACCCTGAGCGGGAACTGTAAAAACCATGAGGTTTGTTTGGGAAGCATTTTGTCTTTGGCAGTAACTTGTACTTGATTTTTCAGATACCTGAGGCCTTAGGTTCGGTGTGTCATGCGTTTCAGCTTCCCAGGCCGTGTTTGTGAATGCAGAACTTTTTTCATACGAAAGATTCTGTTGACTTCAAAAACAGAATTGGAATCCCACTAATTATTGCAAAAAACTTAATTCTCAAATAATGTGTTCTCCATAATGCTTATGCCATGTACTTGACTTCTCACTGTTTGTGGTTCTCACGCCGGCCTGCCCCGGTACGACATGTACACGCTACCGCACGCTCTCCCAGGACTGCGGTGTTTGTCATTAGAGCGGACTGTGATTAAACCCTGGTGCCGCCAGTGCGGAGCCACCCCAGGCCCTGCGTCCTTGTCTTTCTTTGCGCTCCAGGCCGGAGCGGATCCCCCCAGGGGCGCGGGGGCAGCCGCGGCCTCGCGGGGCTCCCG